GGAATATCAGATTGCTGCTTAAAAAAAGGAAAAAAAAAAAAGGCAATCTGCAAATAAATGTACTCCCAAGAAATTTATTTTTTTTTTCTCTTGAAATCTTAACTTAAACTTTCTCTCACACTGTTCTGAAACTTCATAAATTTAAGGACATGTGAGCCAGTTTCTAGGGAAGAAGGTACTACTATGGATCGTTTTCTACATTAACTCTCAGTGATTTTCTTTTCAAAAACCACATTAGGAATTTGAAAGGAGTCTTGCTTTTTATTCTTTTCCCAGTCATTTGGTAAATAAACATTTATAACATGGATGGCAGAATGCCAACAACATCCTACACCTGTAAAAGCAAACTCAAGAAGGGTTAAGAAGTGTCATTATTACAACTTCCTGTGCAACCTTGATACAACCCCTTTGTTGCAAATGAATTATGATACAGCCTTTTGCTTTGGCACTCTTGTCTCTTGAGCGCACAGGTCAGAACTGTTTGGGGGAGAGAGCACCATGCTGTAAACAGCTTTGCAGGTGGAGCACCTGCTTCATTTGTTAACAGAGGCTGGAAGTTGTATACCTAATGAGGCAGAACACTTAAGAAAGGAAAAGATCACCTCAAGATTAATACAGCTGAATGGTCAATTTTAGGCCCCAACAAAGCCCATTCCATCTCCAACAAAGTTTTCCAAAGCAGTCACGATGCTTCTGCCAATTTTTCCTATTATGTATTTCTTATTTTTGCAGTGCTTACAGAGAGACCCTAATCTTCAAATAAAGTCCCTAGGAGCTGAGCTTTGAACATATGTAATACATAATGTTCTTCAGAAATTATCCAGTCCTAACTGGGTACCCAAAATAAACAGGTATATATATATATCTGATGTATCTCTCTGCCTCCGCTCATCTCTTTTAACAGAGGGGCAGTTCCCCATCCATTCTCACATGCCAACGCAAGGTATTTATTGCTTGTGAAGCCTCAGGAATTAAAGGGATGAACAACTCAGAAAGCAAGACACTAATAATTCTGTTTGGATAGTTAATTCTTTAAGTGATGCAACTAGTATTTTGGAAGTTAACTTTGGAAGTGATACAGACAGAATTCAAATTTTCTAAGGTCCATTCAAGCATATTAACCGTGAGGCTGCCCTGAAATACAACTGTGAGAATAGCCCTGCTAATGCCTCTATCCTGCCCATGAATGACTGAGCAGGTTAGAGGCATTATCTGTTGAGATCTGGATTTCAACAGATAGTTTTCTGGCAACCAGTAATAAGTATATGCAAGCAGCAATTCCTCATCTACTTACCTCTAACATCACTGTGTGACAAATTTTGAAGTCCCCAAAGACATGCTCACTGAAGAACTTTCCAACCAAAATAACTATTTCAACTGGTCAAAATAAAATATGATATAAACTCTATAATTTAAGATGTCATTTTAAAACTTGATCTTTAATATTAATTGATACATGCATAGCTAGAGTCCTACCTTAATCTATCTCAAATGCACTATATCAATCATAGAATCATAGAATAGTTCGGGTTAGAGAGGACCTTAAGATCATCAAGTTCCAACCCACCTGCCATGGGCAGGGACACCTCACAATAAACCATATCACCCAAGACCTCGTCCAGCCTGGCCTTGAACACTGCCAAGGATGGAGCAGTCACAACCTCCCTGGGCAACCCATTCCAGTGCCTCACCACCCTAACAGGAAAGAATTTCCTCCTTATATCCAATCTAAACTTCCCCTGTTTTAAGTTTTAACCTGTTGCCCCTTGTCCTATCACTACAGTCCCTAATGAAGAGTCCCTCCCCAGCATCCCTATAGCGCCCCTTCAGATACTATTAAGAAGGGAAGATCAATCCTGAAAAGAACCTGCATAAAAATAAAGCCCAGAATAGATGGGGTATCTCAAGTTTGGCCTTTTTGTTTAAGTACCCGATTACATGAATTGAATTCTAGAAGTGCTAGCTGTACAGAAATGCCCACTATTAGCCCTTCTAAACAAAGATCTGGGAAGCCTTCTGGAGCATACACATTAATGATGCAAAATCTTAAAGCACTCTCTGTCTCTGGCTGCATCCTTGTGCTCAAAGTTGCTAGATATAGCATCAAGTACTAAATACATCCAACTGGCAGCCTTGGGGGAAAAAAAAAAAAAGTACATCACAGAAAACAAAGTCTGATTGAACGTGTATGATGCCCTGTGACTTCTAGAACTGTGGTTGTAAAAGGAGGAGCTTCTACTCTGTTGACATTTTTCTTTTTCCATTATCTCAAACATTCTGCAATAGAAATTGCATATCTGCAATTACAATTACAACTAATTGATCTGCCATTTCCCATGTCATAATTAATGTCATGTTTTAATAGAGTTATAATCATCCCATAATAATGCTTTTCATTCACCAGCTTCCCACAAAATATAAAAGTGTAGAGCACAGAAGCAATGAAATTTTATGAGGCCCTTCCAGAAACATCCCAAAAGGAACATGTTGGTGTATTGCAATGAACTTTTTAAATATGTTTCTATATTCTTAGTTGAGCTGCAATAAAAAACCATGCAAAAAAAAGACTTTTAACTCTGGCATTCCTCCTTCCCTGAACATCCATAGGTGAAAAATGAAATCAATGATTCAGTGACAAATACATTATGTTTCCTAAGGGGTTATTTAACATACTCTTAGCAAAGATGGAAAATGATGGTTTCTAGAGAACAGATGGTAACAAAACAAAATATCAACAGACCACAGTTGTTGACTGCAATTTATGGAGTGTACAGATGCATCAACTTAAATGCAGATATTCTGAGGCCAATAAAAGTACTTCCTGATACCAACAGATTAATTTTTCATGACCACTGGTTACACAGCTATTACATTTTTTAAAACTAATTATTCATCCACAAAAGAAACAACCATTTTACTTGAAGATCATTACTATAAAGTGGAATGTTGAACTTGCTGGCACATAAAAAAAAAAAAAAAGGAAAGAGAAAGATATGACAGGACTGGATACAAGTTTGCACATCTTCCTTTTGGAATAAAATTTCCTGCTATTTTTCCATAAAAAATATTCCAAAGAAAGATGAATGTTAGCAGCCAACCCAGACTTAAAGAAATAGTATGCAAGAAGGAGATCCCACTTCCTAGACAAATATGAAGTATGCTTACAAAAGGGCCTTTTTTCACCCTTTAATTTAGCAAGATAAGTAACAGTGCTTGTGGAGGTTGCAAGGGACTGGCATTGCCTGAAGCTGCAGTTCCTTATTTATCTATTGCCACATTAACTAGGCAGACAGTCTCTCCCATGCTGTTCTGTAAGATTAAAGGTAACACAACTGCCAAAGACATGTATCGCAGAACCTTCATCAATAAACGGGTGGAAGTCTAGATCTGATCCTTGTAATCTGAACTCATTTTCATCTTGCCTTATATTTCAGCTTTGAGAAATATTTCACCCACGCCCCTCCTTGTATTGGCCTATCTCAAATTACCTAAGGATTGGTTCTTTGCTTATCAAGAATAAGACAGGAGAAAGCAGCTCTACTTTCCGAATTCCCCTGTTCTAACACATAAATTAGCTCTAAAACCAGCACTTTACATTAACGATACCACAAAACAGCCCACTACATAGAAAATGCTAGGTTAGCTACAAAAAAGACAACAAAAGCCAGTTCTAGCTTTATCAAATTGCAAGATAAGTCTGTCACCGGCTAAACTTTCAAGGGAGACCTCAACTCAGTTACCATTTATTTGCCTTTGGCAGATTAATGGCAAAAACATCTAGGCAGAGGCTGAACCAGCAGGAAAGCACTGCAGGTACTGTAGAAGGAAGAGTCAGACTGAAGTGAAACAGTACCACCCCTTCTCCCTGCCCAACTCATCATACAAGTGTACAAAAGTAAGGTACCCTCCTCCAGAAGCACAGTAAGGACTCACAGAAATCCCTCCCTTTCAAAAGTACAACTTACACAGAGCAGGACAGAGGTGAAGACTTAACAGATGCTGCAGAAATCACACCAAAACTGAAAAACATGTTTTGACTGCATTTTCTTTGCTCCATACTGATCAACGGTTTACCCCACCCAGCCCACTCCATACTGTTGTAATCTCAGCTTCTCTCCATACCACTATTCCAGCATTCTCCTTGTTACTTGGTACTTGTTACTAAACTTCTTTTTGTCTTCCCTAATTCTCCCTCTCTCTTTTCCCAAGTATAATATCAATATTATGTTTAAATTGTGGCAAACATTTACAATGTTATTCCCTTGATTTATGCTTTTATCCTTTCTATCGCTTATCTTTTCTATTTTGACCAGAAGCTATTGAAAGCAGGCTCTGCCACTGCCTCCTCTGCTTTATACTGTCCATAGAGCAACAAGGCTCTATTCCAGTTGCCACAATCATAATAAACATTATTAACAGCAACAGTGTATTCTCTACATCAGCAACCTGGCATCACAGATTATGTACCTCCACAAAACACAGCAGTATGCACAAACTGAGAAGCTGACACCAATTTGGCTGATTCTTCTCCCTCATTGGTTTTATAGCTGTATAAACCCCACTTCAGCGGAGTTACTCCTGATTTAAAGTAGTGCAAGCAAGAAGAGAAAGAGTCCTCTATTTCTGGCAGACAAATGAAGTAGCTCGTAAAAATGGAGCACACAAATTCAGAGGTCACAGACAAGAGAGTACAGAACAAGCCCCCGCTTAAGCAAAGCTCAGTTTTGTACTCATGATTTTTTCTTCTCTGGTTTTCTTAACCTGCACGCTTTTTGGACAGAGTTCTGGAAAATGAAATCTTTTGCAGAGCAAGCAATGGCAGCACAAGTCACACTGTACCATGCAGCAATCTTAGTATTGTGTAAGCTCAGACTTAATTTACTCTGAAGATTCAGAAGCCAAAAAAGCAAGTTTCAATTTGTACAATCAAAACACCAATAGCACTGGCTTAGATTCATATACTACTTTACTACGCAGAACTAAAGGAGAGTCTCACCTACCTGAATCATATGCAAAATCTCTAGGTTCCTGCTTAATCATCAGAGGAGGGGGGAAATTTTGACTGGCTGCACTGCCAACCATAGCGTTGTGTTCATAAACTGGATCATGGTACTCCTGCTTAAAACCTTGAGGTGGGAAGGGGATGTTTGGCTCAGACATCTGGCGCTGATATATTGGACGTCCTTCCCTTGGCATTGCAGGCAAAGGTGGGAAAGAATTGCAAGGCTCAGAGAGCTGGCGGCGAAATCTAGGACACAAGTTAGAGGAGAGGTCATGTAAAGGGCTTGAGCGACATTCCATTTCCCAAAGATCATCACAGGTCATGGTTAGTACTTGTATCACCTTTACAGTAGCAAACATTCTGCTTATGAACATTCCAATTGCTCCCATCAGGATCATTTAGCAACAAGCAAACAAACAAACAAGCCCACCGATTAACACCAGCTCCAAGACCTGTCCCCACCACCATCTGTATGGCTTTCAGTATCTTCTCTCAACAGAAGAGGCAAACAGGTAATGCACCAGATTCAAATCAACAGAAAGACTAACACTAGACCATAGTAAGATGAAGGACGCTTGAGCAGAGTTTTTGTTCCCTCACAAGCATTAGCAACATATTGCTTGTGCTCTAACTTACTATTACCGTTCTTACTCTTAACACAGAAACCATCCATACCACAACAAACATTCTTGAATAAAGAGCCCTGTCTGCTATAACACCTGGAATCATTCCAGGGTGAAAGTCCACCAGTTCTGTCCTCTCAGGTATAGCGCTGTGGGAGATCTACCTGCAAGGCTGGCACTGCATTCCAGCTCTAATGGGAAAGGAATGTAAGCACCCGACAAAAAGGAGAGGCTGCAAACTTTTGCAAAGAGAAACAACGCCTAATAATTGCCCTCTTGCCTTAATTTGTTCCCTTGGTCATTTCTAAATGAAACAAGTCATCCATACAAGCCATGCTGCTACTCACTACTCCCAAATGCTCTTCAGTAGACATGAGATAATTCACTTTTAAATGAACTTCATTTACATGCAACACTACTCAAGAAATTATGCTTGTTTTTTCTTCCATAAGACATACCTACCTGAACTAAAAGGCCTGAACATAATTACTTGGATAGCTGTAGGTTCAGAAGCATAGAGAAGAATGCAAGGATGCTACTTTTCCACCATGCCCTGATCAACAGCACAAAGAGCTCTTGTCATCTCCTGCAGATTATCACAATAATGGTAACCACCACTGCAGTAATACTTTGTCTGCACTAAATCACAGCAGATGCAACTTTCTTGCAGGAAATTGTCTGCTAGTCCTGCTATTACTCATCATGGACAAGACACACTTTAAAACAAACAAACAAACAAAAAAACAACAACCCAAACCAACAAACAAACACACACCACAACCCTGTGCCTTTCTCTGCAAGTAAACTGATCATTCTTCAGCTCCCTGTACTATGGATCTGAAAAAAGTTTGATTCACACAAGCAGAAGCAGATATTCCCTTGGAGAAAACTGGGTAAGTGAAGAAGAATGTAGAGGTTTGACTGCACAGGCAATACAATCCTTGACTACCAACTCATACTATGTATGTATTATGTGTTTCTGAAACAATTTAAACTCTACTAACTCTACTAACATCTGTCATAATACTGCTCTGAACTTCGTCTGACAAATAATTACTATCATTGCTTAATTAGAAATACCGTGGGAGCTACAGAAACTGTTACAGTGTAGTAGTGGCGACAATGTATTTATTTTTTTTTAATGCTGCTGTAATGTAATATTTTGCAGTAGAAAGAGTACTGCGCTGTACCACTGGGTTTTGCAATTCCACCTACACCTGCAGAAAATAAACTCAGAAACTCAAATGTATTATGAAACAGTTAAGCTGACTGGCGCTGCATTCATTTCCCTCTTTTCCTTTTTTCATTAGCCAAAAAAAGAAGCAGAAATTATCATTAAGAACTGTCAAGGAGTGAATCAGAAAATTGCAACTTGAAGTTAAAATAAGAAACAGGCTCACTCACAAAGCCTCAAAGGAAGTTAATAATACTTGTTGTACTGGAAGCTTTGTATGGAATCAAGCCATTTGTTTATACAAGTGGATCTGATTCCTGTTGGTACTTGTTAGGACCACTTATCGTTCATATATTCATGCCCTGTATGAAGATGTATGGGCGGTATGTTCTAGATACTAATGCCATCTTGTGCCACCAATGCATGTTCTAAAGAAATATGTCCTGAGTTACAGATTTATATATGAACTCATATAGGTAGGTCATTTGTTTCAATGACATTTTCTGAATATACTCATTGTAGTAGCATATCACCTTATAAATCATGAAGATTTGAATTTTGCAAAAAATATGAAGTACACATTTGCTTCAAGCTGGAAGTGAGAAGATTTGAAATAAATAAGAAAAAGAGGAAAAACTTCCTTATAATTGTACCTTTCATTAAAAAAAGGAGAATTTTTTTTTTTTATTTTTTTTTGGCCTGAGTCACCTATTTGGACTTGAACACGTGATGTTCTTTTACAGAGGAGAAACATTACTGCAAAATGACCTAAGGAACATGAATATCAAACATGGGAGTGAGAGGGATCATGTAAAGAGCTTACAAAGCTTATGCAGAGCAAGTGTTATGTGTATAGAAAAATATACTAAGATGTATGTAAATCTCTATAAATACTCACATTAAGGCTGACATATACCTTCAGTACTCTCTTGACAAATTGCTCCAAAACAGAAGACTTTTTCATCTGATAAATCTTACTACTACTCTCTGCACATAAGCCATTTAGCTTCTGGAGATTTTAGTCTGCTGATAACTCGACTTTGGTGTACATACAGATATGCATTTATCCACTATCCTGTAATCAAAACTGCTGCCTCGCTTCAACTAGGGGCCTGCGTGCTTAGACCACAGTCCACAGTAGGGAGGGAGAGGAGGGAAAGATGGTGACTACTGCAGCTGAAGGGGACAACCCAGTGTTTCCTCACTGCAGAAATGGCTTGTAGAAAACCTTGGGTGGTATTTAAAGCTATCTTAGCAGAGCATAAAACAGCAACATAAACCTTAGCAACCCGCTTCAGAAGTGATCTGCACAAATACCTGGAAATAACAGCCCTTACTAAAGCAGAAGCTTGCAAATCACACTGCCAGCAACTGTGGTTACCTTTCCAGGTGCTTCTCAGTTTGTTGATGTTCAAAAGCTAAGCCAAGTTTCTGAACATATGTATCTCTTTATACACAGCTAAAATTTTACGTGCTCAGAGCAACCACACAACAGAGCACACACAGACAGGCTCATGTGATAAAGGTGAGGATAAATAGAATTCCACAAACAAGTGTTTGATATCAAAAATCAGGGAAATCCACTGAGTGTATCTGTTGCTCAATTGAGCTAAGGCAGTCAGTCAGTTGTCTGGGGATTTCTAACATATCAAAACAAAACAGGGTGACTTAAGGACAGTTTAAACTTTAATTCTAGTCTCTAGCTCTTGTGGTTTTTACTCTGACTAATGTTATGTAAGCACAGTTTATGTTGGCATCTCAGTTTGTCTGAAATACTACATTTCAAATGGGGTTGGAAAAATGATCCACCCTTCCAGAAAATATTCTGAAGCAGTAACATAACATGGACATTTATCTCTTTCTTAGATAGGTGAATTGCTTAGCAAGAGGACAGATATTTATATCCAGGATCATGCCTGCTAGTGACTTCATTACCTCCTAGGGCTTAGTAGCCTCAAATGAATCACAGAATCATAGAACAGCCCAAGTTGGAAGGGACCTTGAAAGACCATCTGGCCTAATCTTTGGGAATCATGGAAAACCATAATCATGGGAAAGGGAACCTAGATGAGATTATCTAGTGCCCTGTAACCACCTTCACCAGACAGAAGCAGGAGGTTATTAAACTCTGCCATTGCCAGTATGAACTCCTACTGAAATGCACTAAGGCGGGTGCCAGTCTTTCATAAAACGCACATATTTCTGACAATCTGAAACTTGCTGATTTTCACTTTGGTCCCCCAAACCAAAAGGGAATAGTTGTGGGCCGGAAGACAGTGCCACCCTATAGAAGAGACTGGCACCCACAATTGAAACACTTTCTGTACGGATCCCTCATGTGTTTTGTGTTTTACCTGTGGTCCATAGGGAAGCTGTTATCTTGAATGGACTGGGATGGAGGGAGATGGGTAGGGAAAACCCGGTCAGGTTTAGGAGTCTGAGCTGAGTTTGGGGAGGCATGGTGCAGTGGTGACACAGGAGTGCTGGATGGCGTCGGTGGGTTGGAGGGCCTCATTCCCACTTGCGGCTTCTGATCATAGGCACTATCAGTAAGGCAAAGGGAAAAAAGGTCAGGTTATTTTCTCTGAAGGAAAAAAAAAAGTAGCATCTACAGTGAGAAAAAACAAACAAACGTCACATAAGCTTTTCATTTATCAGACTGGGGCACAGGAATTCTCTATTTTACGTTAAGAAGAGCACAGAAAAAAGAATCATAGAATAGTTAGGGCTGAAAAGGACCTTAACATCATCAAGTTCCAATCCCCCTGCCATGGGCAGGGACACCTCACACTAAACCATATCACCCAAGGCCTCATCCAACCTGATCTTGAACACTGCCAGGGATGGAGCATCCACAGCCTCCCTAGGCAACCCATTCCAGTGCCTCACCACCCTAACAGGAAAGAATTTCCTCCTTATATCCAATCTAAACTTCCCCTGTTTAAGTTTGAACCCATTACCCCTCGTGCTATCACTACAGTCCCTAATGAAGAGTCCCTCCCCAGCATCCCTATAGGCCCCCTTCAGATACTGGAAGGCTGCTATGAGCTCTCCACGCAGCCTTCTCTTCTCCAGGCTGAACAGCCCCAACTTTCTCAGCCTATCTTCATGTTAGAGGCAAGTGGTTCAATGCAGCATTTTCTTCTCTGGGGCACAGATATGTATTTTTAAACTATTCAGTCTCACAGTGACATTCTAACAGGAGGTATACAAAGTACATAAAAGTAGAAGCACCTGGACTAGTCACGAATAGCCAGCAGTGCCTGTCAGGACTCTTTTTCAGAGCTTGCACAAACCACAAAGTGAGACAGTAAAACAATACAGCTAGAGGGAAGGGATAATAATAGTATGTTGGCTTAGCTAACCACACTAGAATGACAGCAGCCTCTCCTGACAGGATCCCTCTCCCCCTCACTCCCCCCCCAAAATAAAGTGCTGGTGCTACAAATATATGGATGCTATTTTCAAAGGTGTCCTGAATCAGGAAAAAACTTGAGCACACTTTGATCATTCCTCCTTCTAAACAGGAAAAATGCAGATCTTAGGCAGTCACTATGCATGAACTTGCATACTTGCTTATATCACATACCCTAGCACCCATCAAATCTATCAGTGTATGCATTTTAATCTTTGAAATCAAAATTACTCCTCTGTGACCGGCCTTCTTTTCTTTTTTTTCTTTTTTCTCCTTTTATAGCCAAAAAGTCAAATGTAAATGCTTTAAGTGCTAACAGTTTTGGTAGCACATTAATGAGACTAAGAACTCGCAAGCTAGATAAAAGATTCTAAAATAGACTGAAATGCCAATAAGAAATCCTTCACTGCTGACATTAAAGGAAGGAGTGACACGTAAGTGCAAACCAAAAGAAAGTCAATAAAGAATGCAATGGTATCAAGCCTCTCCACCACCCACAAATAAATAAAGCTTTTATTATCTATCCCTATAAAAGAAGATAATTTGCTTTTGAATAGGTAACAAAGATGCAAAGCCTAATGACATACTATTTTAAATTGTAATCACCCACAAAGAGACACAGATAACATCTGCAAAACTTGTCAAATACCTAACGCATTGCTCAGACCTGTCAATCTCCTGCCTGTTACACAGATCTCTCTCTTTCCCACTGTGTGTACTGCATTTTGAAAGTACTTTCAACCCAACTCGCAGAAAACAAGACACTCCTTCCTTCTACTTCAAGCTTGCACCCTGTGTTTTTAAACTCTTGCCATCTCCCATGGAGAAGGAATGGAGAATATGCATTTTGATGAAAAATGTTGCTTTCAAATGGTTATGTGTTTGATACAATTGTAAACAACTCCATCAGTGTTCATCAGCTAAATGCATTATCTCATCAGTCTGTTATCTGCTGAAGAGGTAACTTTTGTAAGATCACTACTATGGTTTTATTACTCTTTAGTCAGTCCTTATTTAACTCAGCAGTTCTCACTGCAAACATGCTCCTGATTGCTTTACCTGACATTGTACAGGCACTTTTCCCCATAACTGAACTTGAATGGTTGCTCTTGACTGCAAGTGGAGCCAAGTTCCGAACATGGGCTATGGGGTTCCTTCTTGATTTTCACAGGGAGACCATGAAAAGCCACTGTAAAGTGAAAGAAAATGTAATTAAAACCCAAGTACAACATTAATAATGAGCTTTCTCAAGTAAGCTAGACACTTCTAATTAAACACATGATTAATTAAACCACTGTAATACTAAACACAATAAAGGAAATAAACATTTCAAGTATTTCTTTGGGTGTCAATTGAAAAATAGACACCAGAGATCCTTTGCATTGGCTATTAGCACTTTTATTGTTTAATAGAATGATGGCCAGGATCCCATCTCATTAGCAGGAAAATAACAGCCCACTTATATTTGGCTTAACTACTGTAAATGTTGTCAGAGACAAAATGCTTCCCAAGCACCAAATGTTTCTAAGTAATATTAGTGAGGTAGCTTTTAGCTATAAATGCAATAGTAGTTCACTTCAAAGAGTCCCACAAAAATTGCTTCAATTTTATCACTAACTTTTGATGCTATCACCACAACAACATAGTTCGAACACCACACTCTAGCCCAGCACAGACACTTGTACCTCCATGGAAATCCACATACATAGAAGCAGTCCCTGCATAGGGAACCTCAGCACAAAAGCAAGACATTATTATACACCATCAAGTAGTATCATGCCCCTTCCCTTGCACCTGAACTTAGGGAAGACAGTTTGTTACACACTATTTTCTGATACTAATACAGCTGCATACATACACATGTGTTTGATGGGGAGGGGGAGGTAAATGAAATGCTGTCTAAGAAGAACTAACAAACTCTGATTTGTAAGAATCTGTCAGTAAGATCTATATTCCAGATTCTCACCATGGGGTGGGTTTTCCCACGGTTGGGAGACATTCAGAAAACATTTCCACAAATGGGTCCTCTCATATCCTATTACATGCTAGCTTTTACTATTGCCTTTCAGCTGAGACATCCACAAGATAGCACTATGCTATTTAGCCACATATTTTCACAAAACTCACAAGAATTGTCTCTACAGCTGCTACGAAGCTACTGTATTTGATGGATAATAGTCAATTACCTGGAAGGACTACAAAGAAAAATAAGTACATAAATACAAGAGTCACAGCACAGTAACTTAAGAGACAGAGATGAAAAGCAGTGAACGTCACAACAAGGAAAGAACTTTTTTCTGAGTAAAACAGTCTGAATTAGCACTAAAATAAAAGACCATACAGACTTCTTGGATGAAGATTCTCAAATTTTAACAATGCAACCCAGTCAGCTTTCCACCATAACTGCAAAGCAGGCTGACATCCTGTTGTTCATTTCATGTTTGCTAGTGAATTTTTGTTGCTGACTCTACTTGTATGTCTTGGTCAGACAACACATGCCGCACATTTAATGCACATGATGGGCCCCGCAACTCCAGGACAGTGGCTCTGATGCAAAAGCAGGCAACCTCTTTCACTTTAATCAGAGAATTAAAACACAAGACTTTTTTAAAGCCAGCATCACATATTTGCACAAAGGCCACATGCTGCTCTATCTTTTAATTTTATTTTCTTTTTATTTTAACTTTGCTACTTCCTCAGAGTTAACCTGTTATGAAAAATTACTTCCCTTATGTATTTTTAAATAACGGGAGTACAGAGACTCCCACACCACAGCCCTGTGTGGAGAACTGGCTGGGTATTTCATCACAGTGCTGAGAGCCTGAACGTCTGCTAACAGGCAGTTTTCCAGCTCACTGGCACAGGCACAAGTGAAAGCAGCACATTCATTTTGTGCAATTTGCTTTACCTTCCCACATGGAGTTGGTGCATGTAAAAGGCTGTTAAGTACTAAATTATTCCTTATCAAATCACCATCATCTGGAGTCATGATCAACACTAATTAAATTACTTTCACTGAACACGGCTCCAGCCTGCTGCCTCGGCTGCGAGGTACATTTTATTTTGCTTACTGTACAGTCCTAGCAAGGTACAGGGCACAGTGCTAGAAGGCATCTGTGTTGTAGTTTTAATTAAAGTTTACCTCACCTTCCTCCCAGCTTTATAAGCTAGGGTAAAGTATATCAAATCAAGTAGGTTAACACCTTCATTTCATTTAGGAGAAGCATTACAGTCCAAAGGGATTTTATATTAGATCTTTATCTTAACTAGGGCCAGAAAGATAATGTAGCTGTAAAATTTAAAGCCCTCCTCCGGCGGTCGCCTGACACAGTCACCACGCTAAGCTTTATCTGTAACTCCTTAAGTGTACACTTTTAGAGGTAGAAAGGAAAAAAAGCCTGAGAAAAATACTTCCTGAATTTTTGGGGGGCTTTCTTGAAGGCTGCTTGACCTTTCAAACCACATCTTAAGTGTGGCTGAAGATGACAGACTTATTCCAACACTAAAATTTCAAACATTCAGAACAGTTCTCGTACCATCACTGAAACCCTCCACCCGTCACTCTTCATTTTAGTGTGGCACTCACAGGGCACCTATAAAAACAGATTTTAAACATACACCATTTTGCTAAGCTCAATTTTATATTTTCAATCCACTTTATTTTGAGGAGAGCAAGGTTGCTTATTTATACAATCTAATTTTAGTGCAGCATACCAAGCTACCAACACATCCAAATTAACAAAATGACATTTCAAACAACCAGCTCCCCATCGCTTTTTTCTGCCTGATGGCAAATTCACTTTACTTAACCCCAGAACAGAGTCTCAACCCTATTAAAGTAACGGGCACTCTGCCTTAATAACGATCTTATTAAGAAGTGACCAAGGGCCAAGATTTCATCCCGAGTGATTACTTACAGATAACTACTTCCAAACTTGAAAGACAAACAATCTTACAACGTGTATTCAGATGGATGGCTTCAACGCCTCATCTCAGCTACTGGGGAAAGTCAGGCATATCGGTATCAGAACGGACTCAATCCACAGACCCTGTCTGGAGCTTCTCTGAAGCCAACATGCAAATATAAGACAAGCAGAAGGACTGCTGCCATCTGTAGCAAATTGACTGAGGTATAATACTTTCCTGTATGCATATTCTCTGTGAGTAAATATATCTGTATCTGCAGAGTAAAATGACTCACGTGTTACACATAAAGCGCTATTGTACAGACCTAGATTTTATACAAAACCATAATAATGTTCCCACAAAGTAAACTCACACAGAACACGCAAAAATACAGGGTGAAACCTGCTACCCCTCATTCTGAAGTGCTGTTCTCCTTTGCTATCTGTCATCAGCCTAATCCTAAACATTTTGCTTGTGACACCCAGTTTAAATACAAAGAACAATTTTAGTAAGAACTCTGAATTTAAAGGAAGAATCATTTTGCTCCAGAGGGGAGTGTTTTCTAGCCTGAGAAACAGACAGAACTGAATCACTTCTTTTGAGAAAGCTCCAGAAATGCACTGCACCAAATATAAAAGCAATAGATTAAAATATTTCTCAATTCAAGAAACGATTGTTTAAGACGAAGAAGAAACAAGGAATATTTCACATGAAATTTCAAATCATTTCTGCTTTGAGCAAAAGTCATAATTTTCAAACTTCATTTTCCTGTCTCCAAGACAAAATAAAATCTGGTTCTATTTTCTGAAGAAGAATTAATTTAAGCATATTTTTAAAAGGCATGAAATATTACTGGTAATTCAGTGATACTGGCTAAGGGCAGGCAATTTTGACTCCACTGGCCAAGGAGACAAAGGTGTGTTATGATCACACTTGTAAGGCCAGAGCATTTATTATGTGGTATAAAGTCAACTGGCAGCAGCGACCTTACTTGTGCTAGCGAACTCTGATGTCTCATAAGTGATGCTACATTTACATGTATTAAGTTCAAGGACTTTATATATCTGCAGGGAAAAGAAAGTAACCAGCAAGTCACAGTAAGTCACGCCCAAAACATTTCTGCCGCATGTTTCTGAACTGCTTTTTCTGACCATTTATGCTCTCAAATCACCCTCTAAACCCGATATAGTAAATAAGGTAATTCATTTTTATGATTTACTGAGGCAAAACTGTTAATATGCGATGTTAATTTAGACAGATTTCTTGAATGCATTTCAATAGAGGGGATCTGATTTTCTTAACAGCAAGATGAAAAGGCTGAGGAAGTAAAAACATTTAAATTAATACCACTACAACTCCAGATGCTAGCCTGACTGGGGTGACCCAAGTAGCACTTGGTAAAATCTCAAAATCAAGAAAAGGCCCCTGTACTGATAAAGCCAACACTGACACACTTTTAAATCTATCTCCCAATACACACAGAAATGCAGCAGGCACTTCAGATACATCAGTCTCTCCAAGATTCTTTACCAGTACATTTACCTCTGCCAAGCCCTCCCCATCCCCCAGCACACAAAAATCCATTACTAAAGGGTCTAATCTCAGCTATCAGCACAGAGTGCCTTTTATGGAGCCATTAAACCATTTCTCTTGTTTACAGTGCCTGAAGAAAGATGTGAATTATGTCTGTGACAAAGCAGGCGATAACATTTTTAAACTGCTATCAAAATGCAAACTGAAATACACTTAAGGACAGGGATCCTAATTTGTGTTTTTGCAATTTTCCTCGCTCACTATAACTTAACAGCACTCACCTGATGATTCAAACAAATAATTTATGCTTCAAGTACAACAGGTAGGCATTTTAATAAAAAAAAGATTCACTTTCAATAAACAAACAGTTTATTACAGGGTTCATCAAGGAGGGCAAAGTGCTGGTTACTTCTCAGGTGAAAGTAATAACCTAGGTGCTCTTATCAGCAGGCATTTTTTAAAAATCCAAATACAATATTGTGGGTTCATACGAGGCCTGAAATGCTCCATTTCTGAAACACCATTTGAACCATACGTTCAGTATAGGTATTTGCATATCTGATGCACTGAGCTACAAAAGTAAACACTTTCTAATGCCTTCTAGGTCATCAGAATGTATTTAGGTGGAAATGCCAGGCTTTACACATATTTTCTGAAGAGATTTCAAAAACATATATTTAACTTATGGAACAATATCTTTCTGCATTCTGGAGGCTATCTGTTTATTTCAAGATCATTATGATTTGAGCT